CCCTCTATCATCCAAAGATTAGTATTTTAATAGTGTAAACTATAAAACATTTTTTGTCAAAAAATACTAGTATTTTTTCTTCATAATAATAATAATAATAATTTATCAACCATACATTTTATATAAAAATAAACTATTGATTTGAGGCTCAACTGCTATAGTTTCCGCGTGGTTTGATTCATGTTTCAGACTTTCCTAAGTGTTTCTTGTTTCATTCTCCTTCCTCCACGGGTATGGCCAAGTCAAGACTATAGACTCCTTCATATTTAATTAGGCAGAGTCAAATTTTACCGAAATTACATAACTTATTCAACATGGCCTCCTTCCCCTATATATATGTGTATACTTTGCTCCTTACCAAATCAATTGTCTCTCCAACCAAAACTCATCCCATCAGATTTTAATTAATTTCCTTCACAATTTCATCAACCAAAATTCCTAGATCGATCTCGGGTTTTTTTGAATCAAATGGGGTTAGGGAAAACAAACTTTCTCTTCAAAGTTCTGGTTATTTCTGCAGTTTTGGTGTTGTTCTCTGCGCAATTCAGTGAAGCCATGAGGTCTTTGCATGGGGATGGTTACCAGCTGCTCAAGAAATATATTCCCGACTGGGAGTCGTCTTTGGCGAGAGGGACCGAGACACCGTCCGGCGGCTCGCCTTGCACGTACATCCCTGGCGGCAGTGGCCATTGCACGCTGAATGGAAAGAACTTCGCCGGCCGTCGCCTCCGTTCTCCACCACCTTCCTTCCCATCTGCACACAATGCTGCCATCAATAATAATGCTGCTGCTTTCATGGAGAAATAGGAAATTAAAATTAATCATCACTTTGGACTTTGGCAAATGGCGTCCATGGAGTAGGGTTTTCTTCATAGACAAGTAATATTTTTTATATTCTTTTTCAGTTTCATTTTACCTGTAAAAAAAAAAAAAATATGGACAATTCCGTGTTGACAAATTATACATTAGATTTGAGTATAATATAAAATTAAAGTAAGTTTATATATATATACACACACGCGTGTATCTGTGTTTTTTTTAGAATTCTTTTAATTTGTATCTTAAAAACACATATTAAAAATATTTTTTCATTGTTAATTATTATTGAAAAAATAAAATTTAACATTTATTTAATCAATCGATACGTAACATTACTAATAAAATTAATATCAACTTTATTATTTTTCATACTAATTAATATAAAAAAAATATATTAATTACACATTTAATCTACGTCCTTACGTGAATGGCACAAATTACATAAATCATTTTCTTTATTATTATTCTTACTCATGATTTCAATTTTGTGATAAATTAATCTACCTAAAATGTCAATGTTAATCTCTCATTAATTCTCATGTCCAACTGCAAAATGAAAGCCAGAGCTCCGTCATATGTATATATCTGAAATCAAAATCTTCCAAAGTCTGTTTACTGCTGTTTTGTTGAGCTTCATCTTTTATTGGTAGCGATCGACAACAAATGGAGCCATTGGACGCTGGTAAGCACAGGCATGGTGCAAGGCATCACTGGCAAAGTACATCTCCTCTGACTTGCATCCACTACCAGGAATGTTGCTGCACCTGGATGGCCCCCGAAGGAGGGACGGATCACAGGTCCCCTCTCAAGGGACTGCAACCTTTAAGTTCATTTTTTCACCACCTTATTATTTTCTTCATGCAAGATCCTGCTAAGCATTCAATAGTTGCAGACGTAGAGGTAGGCAAGCAATGAAGGATTTCATGCAGAAATGAGGAGTATCAACAGGCATAAACACGGAAAATATTTATTAAAATTTCAACTTAGAAAGATTGACTGTTGACTAGTGTATAATTTTCAGAAAAATTGAATGGAACAGAAGGGAAGAGAAGAGGTTTTTCTGGACTCGAATCCCATCATATTCATCTCTTTTGAAAAAGCAGTCTTGAATTTTTTTTATTTTTCTTCTCCCACCTCAGCTAGCGCCTAGCGGTCCATATGGGTATGAGATTTCATGGGTCCGTACCTAGACCAAACACCAGACCAGAGCTAGTTTTTGTCAACAATGGTGCGAAGAAAATTGAAGCCACGCAACGTAAGAGGAAAGAAATAGAGAGGGAGAAAAAAAGCTCACTGCTGACACTGAATGATGCTGGATGCGAAGGCAGAAACACTCTTTACTATGTTTTCTTATGGAAAAGATTACAAACTCACTCCAAAGCTAATGACCCAACAATTTTCTCCAACATATTATTACAACGGATAAAGCAACCCTCTAATTTGCAGGGAAACTCCGTCAATGTCCATTTGATGGTCGGAATACTGTATAACCGTTGACGCTGCATGTCAAATTTGAGTGATCTGTGCTAAAATATGGGTAACCGTCGTTCTCTGAGTTCCTCATGCCGAGTAATGACAGATCAGAGCCAGCTATTTGCCACTGGGCTGGGATCAATCCATCAATTTGACCGCTTGCATATGGTAGCGGACTAGCTTGGGGAATGAACTCCCTTGGTGCATCAAACTGACCCATAGAGCCATAACTCCGTTGCAATCCATCATCACGGTAACTCTGTGCCCTCTCAAACCTGCACGAGCCACTTGAAGACCCCATCTCACTTGACATGCTCATTTCAGATGAAAAACTAAAGTGTCCATTCAAAGGATGTGAGCCATTGCTAGGATATTGCAAGACTGTTCCTTCCCCATTCACTTTCCCAATACCATGTTCCTCATCGAGTAAGTCATTGATGATATCAAGGTGTGGGAACTCATCTGCCACTACACCCTGGGTCTGACGTCCAGATTTGCAAGCTGGAAACTCGGTGGATGTCTGTTCTAGGGATCCACTCTGCACAGGTTGGCATAAGTCAAGATTTTGAATGCCGGTATGTAATGGGGAAGGATCACAGCGCATACTTCTGCTGGCCTGAGAACTCTCCATCCATTGAGGTCCATTCTGCAAGGCATCCCGTGTCACCATGCCATAGGGAAAGCCAGATTGGACAGAATTGGGGTTTATCCTCTCAGAGCTCTGGGGCATAAATACTGGTGCAGAGACCAAGGAAGCTGGCTGCACGTATGCTGGTGATGGATTTACTCCCGCACTTGGGGAGTTAGGGTGAGTGAAACTGGCTGAACTAGAACCAACATGGTTCCCAACTATAGCATTTCTATAGGACTGAGGAACATAACTATGGGTAGCAGGTGAGGGGTCAGGTCCTAGCCGACCAGCTGCACTGACTGAACGAGCAAGCAATGGAGCCGTTTGCACTACAGAAACAGCAGGAGCTGTTGGCCTAGGACCAGGTATCAGAGGAGCACTAGAGGGCCTTGACATTACAGGCCAGTGAGTCAGAGCTTTTTCAGTTGGTTTTGGACTTGGAGCCTTCTGTGTATCAGATTTTGATGTACAAATCATTTGGGATGAAGTACTACTAAATGGTACAGCTTGATCAGTATGTTGTAAGCCGTTTGAATAGGCCTTCCTAACCGGCACAGGAGTCACAGTAACAGCACTCTTCTGCTCTGACTTAAACTGAACAGTAGGCAACAGACATCTGGGAGGGCTCCTGGGAGAGGAAGACATAGCTGTTGTCTTCTCTTTTGGTCTTTCCAGATCAACTTGGACTCTATGGGTCACTGTCTTTTGAGGAGAAACAACTTCTTCCTATTACAAGAAAAGAAAATAAATAACTAATAATTTCCCAAATTAAAACACACTTGTAGTAAAATTTCAGATGAATTGGTGAACATTCAAATTTGATCTTTAAAATGCACTGTCAGAATGTAAGATGCAACACTTTGCAAATGGATTTTAAACAACCCCATTTACATTGGATGAGAGTAGAACTTCTAAAAGACAATGCTCAAAATCTTTTATAATAAATCATCTAGCCCACGAAAAATGTGAAGAAAAAAAAAAACGAAAGCATATAACCAATAACAAATGATAAATTGTTAAGATTTGAATGGCAAAGAAAGAAACTAAAAAGCTCGGAACCATTTGATCTGTAAACATGGATTCGAATAAAAGAGCCAACAATGGCAAAAACAAATGAAATACAATAGCATTCTAACAGAAAGATTGAAGAACATAATGAGACTTCGATAAGAAAAGAGAGATACAGCTAACCCACCTTCTTAACCACGTGCTGCTCTAGCCACTTTGTCTGACCCTGCAAAGAAGACACAACAGCCTCAGACTCAGATTCACCAGCCTTACGACTTTCAGATGCATCATTAAGGTCCCCTGCCTCCAGAGCACGCCCAGAAGGTTGATTATCAGTCTCGATAGTCCAACTACTTCCATCAAAAGTAGCTCTGCCTCGCTGGTTCTTCCCTCTACAAATTTTGAAGAGCTAAATTAAATAAAAAGCCTTGTCTTCTCATCCAGATGCAACCAAAAAACATGATAATACTTGTACCTGATGGGTGAATCTTGATTATGGTAGTTAGAAAAGTTGCCCTTATGAGGTCCATTCATTACTACAGATAGCACCGAGTCTGTAGAACAAGTTGAGGAACTATCATCAGCAACAGATGGACTCCTTTTATCAGCTATACCATTTTGCACACAGATTCCACTTATTCCACTGCTACTGGCTTCTGTGGGGGGATGAACTTCAGATGTGTCAGTATCCCAATTAACAGGACTGGCATCTCTGTCTTCGGAGTCAGGCTGAAGTACTTCAGTAACACCACCATCCACTGAATCTGAGACATCAGAAACATCGTCCAGGACATCAGCCTTTTCGGGTAAAGGATGCATCTCTTCAATGGCTGATTCCTTTTCATCACCGGGGCTTTCTTCTTCATGCTTATCCATTATTGCCACACAAGACTTCTCCTCCCTCCCTTTATCCTTGCCCTTACGATTATTCCGTTTTTGTTTGGCCTGTATTGTATGATAAAGGGCAAATGTTCAGCAATCAGTGGGAAGGTATATGTTTCACAGCCTTAACTGCACTCTTATTCTTTTAAATGAAATAAAAATCTACTATAAAATTTTTCCAAAAGTCAATTACAAGAATACAATGATTCAATGTCTAAGGAAAAAATTAGATGAGTGAAAATATAAGAACATATTTTAGTTCATTACCATCATGCTCATCTGACCCAAAACTGGTGCTCACTAAATTCTGTGGCCTCGAAGACATATATAAATAGATCCACATCATACTTACCTGTTTTTTCTTTGATTTTTTCTCCCTTTCAGATGCTCCACGTTTAGCCTTCTGTTCACTTTCAGCCAGCCATGCAGCTTCTTCTTCACGGATGAGCTCTTCTTGCCTCTTCAAAGCAACAGCTTCCTGATAAGCAACTTCTATCTTGTTGCTGTAGATGAAGTAGCAAAAGATTCAGGCATCCAAGGGTACAACTAAGAATGCATGGTTTCATCATTATGCTATCAAACTTAAAGAAGATTGAACCAACCAAAAAGCTAATATACAGGATCCAAAACCATGGTCAACCATATTGCACCTCAGTCTGGACACAATATGATATACTGTCAAACGCTAAAAATAAATTTATTTCAATTGCTAAATCCTAGAACACTACCCACTCCATCTGTGAGAGAATAGGCCTAACTGGACTAAATTGGTAATCAACATGCTAATAAAAATACATTCATCTTCCAGCTTGACCAAAATATAATTATATAACCAGTAACTTAGAAACGGTCAGCTTTCTTGGCCATGAGAAACACAACACACAAACAGGGATGACATTTGCACCAAAGCAACAGATGAGTCACAGTAATAGAAATGACATACTTATAACCAGGTTCTAAGGCAATAAGGGACAGAGAAGTAGACCAAATTTTTACATTTCCATTCTATGGTAACCAAACCTCAGATGGCGCACCTTCAAATTAGTTTAAGATGCAACTTCATAAAACACATAGAAATTGTAACAGTAACTATAATATCAAAATGATATAAATGGTTCGAGTTGAATCGTTTGATACCAAAAGTAGATTTGCATGATTTATGGTTTAAAAGGAATAGAAACATAGGGTATATTGCATAGCAATTACAGGAAAATGCAAATATACAATCAAATTATTGAAATGTGCCCATTTCCCAAAAAATACAGGTTTATATGTACAGCTTTCTTCGCCTCCCCTCCTAAGTCCTAATTGAGCCCAATGGAACAACCCACTCAACATTTAATACTCAGTTACTCCCTAGTTGAAAAGGAATTAACAGGAAAACTCAATAGAAAAGCATTGACATATGCACATACAAACATATCAAGTCTATGTAAGTCAGCAGAATGTATTGGAATGTTTAATGGAAAATTTAATATAAGCAGTTGACCATGCAGCTAATAAGTATATCACCTGAAAATATGCACAAGGACAAATATTTCCACTGTCCTGCGACCCAATTCTGTAAGACGTCTTTCATCACGCTCAATAGAATCCTTGTTGAAATCCTCCCCAGAGTTCCCATCCTATATAAAATAGGAACACTTCCTCAGTCCTTAGGAATAATACATAGTTTTCTCACCATCTATTGAAGTCCATTCCAAATGCAGGCTAACCATACTCCCACAAAAAAGGTATCCAATATCAACAATTTTCTAGCAAGTGAGAAAGAAGAAGGTCTTCTACTTGTCCCATTTCATTTGGCTTTTAACTGAACAATCCTATTTTGCTACTCAGATCTAGCCAGGACTGCATCTTCTGAATGCAACATATTATGTTTTGAGTTGGTTCCTTTTTCATTGGGGTTAGGGGAATCACTGCTTCAAGAAAAAAAGGCTACTAAAAAGGAACCATCTTGTGCCAACCTAAAAAAAGGAACTATCTGGGTGTATGGTTGGAACAGCACTGGCTACTATAGAAGAGCCAACAAAGGTCAAATGTAATCCCAGAATGAGAAATCAAGGTTCCATTAAAATAGGTGAAGATCATTCTATGGACTTGAAAAGAGAAATGTTCCAGGTTAATCTGTATATGGAGCCACAGCATTGAGAGCTGAATCTGTTAAATTGTTTCCTTCTGTTGTACATAAACGTATCTTGAAGACTTGGGAACTTACCTTTGTGCGGTTTTGAGGACCCTTCTCCTCTTTTGGAGGTAATGGTTCCAAGGCAGCCCTCTCTAAAAGTCGCAGCACATCATCCACCAAGACAAACATATCGTTCTCCACACAAATGATGGGAGCTGGCATTTCTTCCGTTTCTAATGATTTTGAGTTGCCTTTCCTGCACTCACTCTGCCCTTCAAGAGCCTTCAACCCACTATAAAGTGAATCCATTACCAAAGTAGATGTTACTTCCTTCTCTATAAAAAAGTGCTTTACAACTACTTTCAGAATCATGTCTGCTTTCTCCCTGGACATATGGCGCCTGGCACTTTGATCAATTCCCAACCAGAAAGCACAGATGCTGCAATAGTCACAAATAATGTCTTAGGCAGAAAAGAGAGAAAAAAATGCATAATGATATGATGGCGCCCAACTACAAAGCAGAGCACAAAAGTAATGGCAATTTATTTATCAAAAGTTTATTATAACAACTTGATGCCACTAAATAGCCACAAGTTCAGTGAAAATAGTTTTATTTACCTTGGCCACCTAGCCTTGTCCTCTAATAATCTGCCTAGCTTGCCTCGTTCCTCTTCCATAAATCGCCGACAAACTGTCTCCACATTTGTCAAATATACCCTAACAAGTTCTCTCCTATACTGACAATCAAGGCAACGAAAAGGGCGATCTGCTCTCTCCCTAAGAGCCCAAACCAAAACATATCAGAATTGCTTGTGCGTAAGTTAAATAGAAATAAGTAACACAAATTAATTTGAATTACAAAAGGGAAACATATACAATAGAAGAAACAGCAAACCAACTTATCATTAAAATAAGATAAAAAATACTAAATAAGAAAAATAATTATCAATTAATAGTCTCACCAACAGTCATAAAGTTACCAAGAACCAGACAGAGACTGACAAGCATGAAGAATGCCATAACAAGTAAAAAAAGTAAAAATTTTAAAAATAAAAAATAAATAAAAACTTTTCTAAGAGACAGCAAAAGGAAATGTGAAGCACTTGATAAACACAAGAAGACAGAAATTTGCACATCTGTAGACTAAGGATTACCTGATGACCTGAACTTGAGCTTTTATAATTAGATTATCAGAATCTATAAACCCTTCAAACACTTTTGATAACTCCATGAACTTTTTCCATCCCCAATCATGCTCTTTCTTACAGAACCGATGTAAAGTATCTGCAATTTGAAAAAATTACTCAAAGCTCATGAATTCTTAATTTACTGATTATCCTAAATTCTAAACCAACTGACCTGAATGTTTTGATTTCTTTGGATCCTTATTAACCACAGCTATTGTAAACTGTGCAAAATGACTCCAACCTGTCTCATAATTGAGAAAGACAAATAAGTAAAATCACTGGAAAAAAACCTTTAACGATAAAGAAAGCAGCTTGCAATTCAGTAATATCAAACCTGGAAGAAGTTTGTCATGGTTAGCAACACAAAGAAACAATGATAGATGATTGCAAACCTCACAACCTTGGGGATAAATTAAAATGTACCTGCATAACAACAAAAGAAAGAGGTGAATCAAAGCTAATAACTGTGACTTCTTGAAAAGCAGTTGTTCTTCAAATCAATTGTTACTCACAATACCATTAAATTTGAGAAAATCTATGCTAAAAGCCAAAAACAGTGTCAATCTTCTGCATTTAGTAAGAAAGGAGGTTACCTTGTCATAAAGAGGATGGAAATACACTAATATATACATTAATGCCAATAATGCATTGATCATCTCATTAAAGCTTCAGAATCTGATTAATTTTATGAATTTAAACAAATTCATGCACATTAATATATGATAAATTCGTTGGAAATACATAATATACCCATACATAAACAGATACACAAAGTTAATTGAAGGGAAGAAAAAGTTACTCCTTAATAATGATCACAAACCATTCTAGTTTCCTTCTTTAAGCTATTCAAATGGAAAGCAGGTGCACAAGTTACAAGCATCTTCACAGAACAAACATAAATACATAAACATATTCGTGTACATTAATGCATGATAAATACATTGGAAATACATAAATATACCCATACATAAACAGGTTAAAAATGTACACAATCAAGCAAATATAGACCAAACATGATTTTGAAAAGAAAATAAAGGACAAAAATCCATTGTATTAACCAGGAAATGAAATAAACAAATCAACCCAAGAGAACAATTAATATTCAAATGCATCATACCATTTGTAGCCGCCAACCTCAAATGCATTACTACGAAGTTCTCTTTTGTTAATCTGTGAAAATTTCTCTATCTTCCATGTATACTTTCCAAATAATTCAGAAGGTTTGGGCCCTATATATATGTATGAGAAGCAGTTTCAGATAACACTTAGTCAGTTAGTCGAAGCACAAGCAATGGACAAAAGAAATCACAACAAATCCTGAACCTGAACCTGAACCTGTGGCTAGACTACAACAATGCATCAACAGATACAAGGAACTTTAACAGAATAAAACATGCTGAAAATTAAATGAAATGCAATTACGCAAATATAAATGCACCACCAATTAATTTTGTAACCAAGCCAACAACACCAACATCATTTCATTCTTCAGATGCCTATAACCAGCAATACATGTATAGACTAATTACCCAACAAGTACTACCATGTGCAGTTCAGCTTTTACTTTTACGGTTTTACCACACCCATATATTTCAGGAAAATTTTCAAGTATAAAAATGGTAACTTGTTTCTCCCACATGACCCTTTCATGGTATTATGTTTGCAGAAAAAACAGCAACGAGAATATAATCATCTAAGTTACAATTAAGTATTAGCCAGAGGCCAATGACTACCTCATGCTCCCATAACTTAATCCACAAATAATTATTACATTTATAAAAATAAAAGGAACCTTCGTAGTTGGTAACTAGTATTCTCAAATTGTACAGACAGCAAAGGGTGAACAGATTAACTAACAAAAGATAAAATGGTATCACGCTCTCTCTGTTTAGAGTCACTGTTTTTTGCAATTTTACTAGATTTCAGACAAGGGATAAGTTAAAATGGACCTAAAGATGCTTGAAAATTTAAGGATAAAAAATTTACACACAAACTAAAATCAAGAATCCACGACTGAACAAGGGAGGGAAACCATAAGCATACCACCATCATCATCGTCATCATCAGTGTCCCAGTAAGGGGGCGAAGTCGATGGGATTCCATTTTCCGGCTGTTCAGATGACCGCCATTCAGCCAATGCTTCCACTGATTGGCAACGCTGCCCACTTGAAAACCTTTCCCCTCCAACCTCATCACTAGCAACTGCAGCCATCTCCCACCCCAAAACTCCTTTCTCCACACTCCTTCAACACCAATTGCTAGACAAAAAAACCCAGATAAGAAAACAGTCAATCCTAGCTGTTGAACCTCGCTTTATATTGCAAAAATGGAAATCATTAGCTAACACTCTTCAGTCAAAACTTCACCAAAGCAGAGGAAACCCCAAACTAATTCCCCAGTTACATCATAAATTATCTCGGGTTATCAAAGTAACATTTTGAATTCAGCTGTGCATAACACATCAACAGAATCACCAGTCTGGCTGAAACAAAAATATAGGGAAAAGAAACAGAAATTTGATAATTTGATTCGTTATTAATTGGGACCAGAAATTAAAGAAATCTCAGCCAAACTGAGCTCATGTGTTGGCAAATGGAACCAATTAGCATAAGCCCCAATAAAATCCAACAATCTATCTTGTATTTCATTCCTCGTTTCAACCAATAACCATACCAATTCACCATCACAATCCCAAATACCCAAAACCCATCTCCGTTAAATCAAAAACCTATAAACCTTTAGAAAAAAAAAAAAAAACAATTCCAGAAATAAAAAATCAAGCTTGACAGGAAAAAAACAGATTGATAATTTTCTGGAAACAGGGACATAACCAAATCATTTTGATTGCATTAGTCCAAGCTCGATAAAATCCCCCCATCAATTCATTATCATGAACCGAAGATCATCAATAAAAAACCCAAAACCTCGATCCAAATCAAACTTCAAACCCTAAACCGCAAATTGAAAAGCCCAAAACAGAGAATTGAGATGAATTAAAAATTGCAAAGTGTATCCGACAGATCGAATGGCTATAACGAACCTAGAACGAAGAACAGAGGTTTCGTCAAATGGGTTATGGCAGCTCTGAGATTCTAGAGAGAGAAAAAAAAAAAACAAGAGACACACAGTCCAGAGACAGGAGAGAGAAAGAGATGAAGAAAGGCGGAACCCGAAAAAGAAATTAAGAAAAAAAAAAGAATTTTAGTTTAATTGAGTTCTATAATTTATCCAAGTCTTATTTTCTTTTTAAAATAAAAATACATTTTTTTTTTATTTTTGTTTTTTTTTAAAAATAAATAAAATTAAATAAATGGGGAAAAAAATATAAAAAGAATAATAAGTAGGGGAAAAGTGGTAATAAAATAGGGGAGGGAGGTGTTTGTATGTGAAAGGGTCGGCGAGCAATGTTTGGGGAAGATGAACAAAGGGTGTCCTTAGAATTGTTAATTTGCCAAACACATTGTGGGGTCTATTATTTTATTTTATATTTTTATGATTTAAATATGTAATCTAGAGCCTTTTTTTCTGAAGAGGGTGCAGGGGGTGTTGGCATTTCTTTTCTTCTCTTCTCTTCCACAATTTAGGGTTTCTTTGGCAAGGGAGGAGGAGTTGGGCTTGGGCTAGCAATGTAAATCATGTTGGAAATTAATTATTTGTTTAATAAAGTATGCATTTTGTTTAATTAAGTAATTGGCTTAAGATTTAAGATTTAATTTTTTTTTTCTTATTTGATAAAACAAATTAACTGATTGAAACACTTATAAAAATAAAAAATGAGAATTAGAATTCTAATCATAAGAAATGCCTTTTTGGCTAATAATTTCCCCAGTTATGCCTTCCTCCCTCAAGATTTGAGTATGTTAGCATTTAGGTTTTAGTGTTGTTTGGGCATCTATTAGAAGTTTATAAGTATTGGTGCAACTTGCAAGTACAAAATCCTTGATTTTTCATTTTAATTATGAAAATAATAGAGAGATAATATTTTTATATAATTTTTTTACCCTTTTCATTTTATTCGGACCCATGATATTATATAAATATACTTACATAATGACATATAAAAGTTATTTAAAAACTTATATAAAAAAGGTTGTTCATATAATATTATCTTCTTAATAAATCATTATCTTTTTAGTAAAGAACAATTGTAGCAAGTTTTCCTTTTGCATGTTACATTGCCTTTCTGGGTGGATATTTTCTCAATGTATATATAGAAAGTAAGCTGTATAAAGTATAAGTGTCTAAATTTTCCATATTTAATTATTATTCAATTTATATAAAAATATTGTAGCAAAAAATAAAATATAAATTAAAAGGGTTAAATAAAATGTGATTTTATTTCAGCTAGTTGAATAAAATGAACTAAATTACAGATTTGTACAATTTAAATTGCACTTAAAAAAATAATTACCAATCACTAATATATTTTATAGTGACATCACAACACAAGAGGCAAAACAATCATAACTATATCGATGCATAACAATCCCAAACACTGCCATAAAAATGATAATGAGATCAAAATAGGAGTTTTACATTTAGGAATAAGACCGATTTACATTGAAGATATTGACTTTGAATATTTTGGGAATATATTAAATGGATAGAAGGATTATCTTATATTGTATAATTTATTATTTAATATAATAAAAAAA